CCCCTTTGACAGGCATTTTCAAACATAAATATAAGTATTGACTAGCTTGTGAAACTTTGTTCCATTCTCCTTGTCCTGGTTCCGGCAGGGATGGGGTTAATCTCCCCCGGAGCCGGCAGGGGGCAGGTATTCCATCCCCCGTGAGCCATCCCGGGCTATAAGAGGCGCTGCCGGGGCGAGGAGAGGAGTCGCCACTCGGGGGTGGGCTGCGGCGGTGCGGGTCCGGTCGGTGCGCTTCGCGGCGGTACTGTAATCGCGTTTTTGTCTTTTCCTTTTGCTGTTCTGTTAAATTGCACTCTTTTAACCCACGAGTTTGGCCCTGTCATTTTCTTTTTCCACGACTGTGGGAGTTGTGCGAGCGGCTGCGGGGTTCTGTGGTGCTGCCTGAGGCCAAACCACGACACTCCTCCAGAGGAGAAAAAAGGAAGCAGCCAATTGTTTTTTTTCTTCTATGGTATATGCTTAATCCTATGCAAACTAGTAGAATCTGCTGTAATTAACCAGTTTGTGACTTTGGTTCTTTTGCTCAGTAGATAAACATCAAAACTTCATGATTAATTACTCATTTTTAGATAACATGGGTGAAAGAAGAGTATCTTTTTATTGAAAGACAACAAATACAAGTGAGCCATTAATAGTGGCAAAGATACAGGGGGGCAGGGGGAATATCAATCAACGTTTCTCATGTTATTCATTCTTAAGTGAGACAGTCTTACCCTCTGTCCGCTTTTTGCCTTGACCAGACAACAGGTATCTGCTTTCGATTGCCACCCCAATTTTTTATTTCATTTCTGACACACCAACCACCAGCCCTAGCACTTACAAAGGTAGAATTTTTTGGTCTGCAGGCAGACAAAGCAGATGCTCTAAGCCAGAGATATTCAATATGTGGCCCACCTGGAAAATTCATCCTACCTGCAATCAACTCCTACCAACTTTTCACCAGGAAGAAGCTGCCTACTGAGATTCATGATGACAATGCAATATTGAGTGTATCAAATTTATGAAAAAGTTCCAGCCATGTTATCAGGTCCTTCAACAAGCTACACGCTCCACTCAACCAGAACACCGGATCTATCTCCAAACAGTATCTGTAGTAAACGCTGAATTGTAGCATGAACTTTTATCAAATATTAATTAAACTCTAAGACATGAAGACGTAGCAAGTAGATAAGCACACCTTTTAAAGCTACTAGCTAAATTTAGCAGGCACCTGTAACAGCACAGAAAAGTGTATGTTAAGAAACTCTATCATGCTAATTATTGTTGTTCTATCAGGTGGTCCAGGGAGATCATTGGTAAGAACTACAAATCACCTGTGAAAACTTCCAGATTTATCCAACACAAAGAGCCCTCAGGAAGCAATACAGACACATTACGGTGCACCACAGGCATACAGAATCATCATGTTTTGTTCAGACTGTTATTTTTCTAAATTGGGACGGTCCAGTCTTATCAACCATAGACGCCACTCCTTTTTGCAAGAGTGTCCTCAGATATCCCTCTAAGCTTGCTGCCTGCTTTCTAACAACCATATGAAAGCAGAGAAGCCTCTTGTCTTAAGGGAAGAAAAAATGGCAGGTCAGATGGAATTATGCGTCAGGCTGAATCTAATACTTCCCAGGCTGTGAGACTAGGCTAACCTAAAGTAGTGATTTAACAGACATGGATATGAACTCAGCTGTGTCACTTACAGTCAGCAACAATCCTTAAAAGTTACATGTATAAATATTTGTGCAATTAATCCAACCTTAAACCATTCAGACACTTTTACTTATACGGCACAGTAAAATTTCCAGTGTACAAGAAGGGCTACATGATCCAACTTCAATCACGTTTCAGGCGCAATTCAGACTCGGATATCCTGTAGGATCAGTTTTAATATACATTTTTCCACTTACTCCAACATCAAAACAGTCAGTTCTCTTAATTTGTTTGCTTACTTTCTTCCTGTAACTGTCACTGTGCTCTGTGCTTACTGAACAATTAAAATTATCTTTTTATTATTACTTTTTTTTTTTTTACTGTTGGCCAGAAAGATAGCAAGTCTACCAGAACACATATACAGGTATTTTAAGGCTTACATTAGTATACCCATAAAAGCGTATTTTAATCACTCATCATTTATACAGGAGACAACCTTGAACAAGCAAATATTAATCTTTTAAAAAGTAGTTTTCTCGTTATTATGCTCTCTTTGTACTCTCTTACTCCAACCACACTCTCTGGGGTATATATTCTGAAATTTCACGCATACCAGAAAGTATCTTTGGAATGTTACAGTATAATTGTTTAGAGAAACATTTAATGGATGAGTAAGCATCAAGAGGCCACGGCTAAGGGAAAAGAAAAGTTAAAATGCTAGAAGCATTTTGTATTGAATGATCTTCTCAGCATGAGGACAGGGGATGGACATCTGATCCAAAAATCTGGTATTGACTCAAGTGATATAAAACCAGCAGCCAGCACTGAGGCATACGAAGCCATCCAACCACCTAACAAAACATCTGCTACCACCCACCTCTTTCAAACTGGACTTCAGTCACTGTCTAGCAAAGCAATCAAATGCTATAGCATATTATTTGATTAATAACATGAATATTATGATAGGCAATTACAGGATCTTGACAATTGGCAATTTTTTATTTAATTCGTTGCTTCGTTTCCCAATTTACAGCACAAATAATTTGCATGTGCATGATACAGAAATGCAACAGAAGTAACTGGAAAAAAGCTGGGCACTGAGTACAGAGACAGCTAAAAAAAGCTGAACATTTTTTCACTACAGGAAACTGCTGGAGACAATATGCTGTAAATTAAAGCCAATTTTCCTGAATTCCCTGAAGGACTGCTCCTCCCAGAGATTCTACAAATCCATTAGCAAAGGCCCATCGTTATAGTTTTCTTGTTTATTGAAGAGCATTTAAAAAAAGTACATCCAAAATAAAATGTACGGTCTACTGGGGGCAGGGGATTGGGACAAATCAGGCCTAACCTTACATAATTGATTTATGTCCTGATTATTAGAGAACAGCTGAGATGGTTTTTACTCCCAATTCCTCCTCCCTCCATGCTTTTTTAAGTCCAGGGAAATCAAAATAATTAACTCCCTACCTGAATTTCTGATCAGAAGAATGGATACAGAGGCAGGAGAGGTGCCATGTGCTGACAGGCACTGCTCTTGAAATCAAGCAGTCGTTTTTGCAGCAGAGTTAGAAAAGCCAAGCTTCCTACAGGCTTGTGTCACAGCTGAAGCTTATCTTATGATTGGGCACCTAAAAAGCTCTGTCCAAGGAGATTTCTGTAGTGATCAACAACATATGAATTGCAGCTGGTGCAGCACAATCTCTCCTAGCTTCATACTTCCACAGCATTTTAAGAAACCTAGTGTTTTTGAGCAACTTCTATTTCTGCACTAAATTTGGTAGAAAACAGGCAGCAAGTTTAAAAAAAAATAATTAGGAAAACATAAAATAGCGTGATTTTATAAATCTCATCTTGTTAAAAAAACTCATGGACAAGTAGCATGAGTTCTGCTATGCAGCCTTCTAGTTCCAAACCCAATATATTTAAAAAAATTCCTCATCTATTTGTAAAATGTGTGAATCTAAATCATATGTAAAAATAATGGATTGCACATGCTGCTTGATTAAGGCTTTAAGAGATATTTGTAGGCACATAAAATTGCAAGGGACTTCCCAGGTCACTGTATTTGCATCCTGCTATCAGAAACACTATATTACATAATCTCTTCCAGAAGACATACATCCCCATCTTAAAATGCTTTTTCTTTTTGCGTACTCCCCCTCAAATAATCTCAGAATATTTCTTTTGATTTCCATCTTAATTCATTAAAGACCCCAGATGAAACACTTCAGATTGTGTAGGATTTTTTACATCAAGCTTTTCTTTCTCTTCTTTTCAACAACACAGTAATCCAGATGTTGCTCTCAAATTCAGTGTTTTACATCTGTAATTTTTTATCTAATGCTATACTCAGAGGTATATCCATTCCATGGGTAACTTTTTCTGTAACTACTTTTACTTGGTGAATTACAGGGAACCATAATACCACTGCTGATTTTAAAAAAAGGTCTACAGATTACTTCTTGTGTTACAATGCCCATACCAGAGCCTGTAAGAATGTCTTTGGGGGTTAGGGTAATGGGGAACAACACAGTTTACAATGAAGTCTAACAAACAAGAGTATGTTAATCTTTTCAGCCACTTAAATCCAGGAAAATCAAAAGCAAATGTCTTCCTACCATAGCATCACAAAACCCAACCCCAAATACTTGCATCTTAATGCCTCCTGGGATATTTTCTGCTAACCATCCATTAGATTTCTTATAATGCTCAGTACACACATTCCTCCACAAGCCGGATTGATTTCTTCCAAAGTTTAACTTGTTTTTGCCAAAGTCTCTCTTCGTTCAGCATTGGCTGCCTGCCTAACGAAACAACCTTTCTTTATGCCAAAACTGTCATCTTCAGTTGCACAAGACGCATCTTACTTACAAACATGTATAATGAACCCAGTGTTTAATGCTTCAAGAACTGCTATTTTAAAATGACCTCTAGCAAAACTTAGACAGATACAGAAGCAGTCAGTATCTAACGTTGGGGAGGAGGGAAATCATTCTCAAGAAAGATTTTTTTTTTCCTTTTGTATTTAAATACACCCTTTAAAAAGAATACCCTAAACTAATTATTAGAACATGAAAGCATCTGCATTTGACCACAGACAGCACTGAGAAACGTAAGGCTCACTCCGAACCTGAAGTTGAAAGCTTCCTTCTCACTCAGTGTGAAGTCATCATTTCATAATGATCAAAGGCACCATAAACTTCTCTCTCCTTGAAAAGACTAGCCTTTAAATATAAGAATCTGATAACCTTAGTGAGTTATCAAGTATTGCTAGTGATTGAAAAAATCCATCTAAATAAACTTCTTGCTCTATTTTTGTGCTGTAATTTCAGTCACATCTGAAACAACAATACCTGTGTAAGAAGTTGTTCTTCAGTCAGATTATTGATCCAACGAGTATACCGTTCAGTAGACTCCAGTGGCTCTCTTCTGACTTGGCAACCAATAATCTAAAGCAAAATGAGATAAATTACATAGTGTAAACTGCTGTACACCCACATGGCAACATGATCATAAATTAAGTATTCAAAACATGAGAACTCCAGGAATTATCTATACAGTCCTTATTAGCCCCCTTCTATGTTCATAATATAACATAATATAATACGTTACAGTTGCTCTGCTCAAATGTTGAATAGTTACAGAGGTTTCAAAGGTCTCTAGAAAATTAACAGTGAGAAGTCTTTCCAATAACTTCAGTCTTGGGAATATCTGAACCATTTTGGTTGAAATTTTCAAAGGAAAGTCATCCAGAGGCAGACATCTAGAATTCAAAATGTCAACCAAGAAAGCTGAAGTTTGGCAAATGAAAATTAGAACTTGAGTAACACCAGACAATTGTACTAACAGTGCTATGACCTGTAATACCACACATTACTTATAATTCATATAAAATAAGAAAAAAAAAATCTGTATTCTGATTTGTCTCATTCATGGTAGAACAATGTAGACACCCCATTTTGATTCATTCACTGAAGTACTATATACCCATTTGAGCTGTGTTGTCTTCTCCAATACTGTTCTGTAGCTGTGTTAAATATCAATTATAAATTCTGAACACCTGCTGGCATAATAAATAGCTTCCAATATGCACCAAATGCAGAATATTAGAAGGATTTAATATTATCTGTAACCGCATAGACGTATATTAATACAATTTTATACAAACACTGTTTGCTCTACAAATCTCTGGTTAGACACGGAAGAAGCCAAGGAGAATGCTGGGAATGGGAGTGTGGCTATACAGAACTCTGCTGTTCACTACTCCCGATGGTCTGCACTCCACCCTAAGCCTTCAGGGTATTACAGGACTTAATTATATAAGGTAAATAATCTGATACTGTTATATACCAACTACTGCTCTCCTGTCATACTACAACGGTCTATTTCTCTTCCAGATTTTGATGGGTACTTCCTCTTGAGGACGTGTTCCTTCACTAAAATTAATACCAAAGCATAGGTATTAGCATTTCTGAACACTAATTTCAGATAATCAAAATCTGTTCAAGAAGAGTGTGGAAAACTTACTTGGTTTATTTTCCACCCTAAGCATTCATAAGGAACGTAACTGTATACATTGAGTACAGCAAGTATAAATCTTTCAGGTATCTCTATTTACAGAGCTTTAAACCCCACACAGACGTAAGTAGTCAGGCTGATACTTTTGATGTGGGAACAAAAACACCAGGAAGAGATCTTGCTGGGGGACTGCTGGCAATGAAACATCACAATTTAGAGTATGATTAAATACAATCAAAGTAACAAGCATGGAAAAAAGGAAATCGCGATTTGCTTATCCCATAAAACAGAACGTCTCTGAACTATGAAATTTTCCTCAATGACAACTATGAATTACTGTGGACAACCTTAGTTCCTACCCAAACTTTCTCCTGAATTACAGCTAAGTAATACTAAGACATTTTCAAAAGGTTAACCCAAAATTCTTTTCAACTGAATATCAATCAGAAAAGTTCAAAGTTTTTAAAGGGGACACTCCACAGACATAAAAACTTCACAGAAGTTGCATCAGATGTACATATATTCTGTTCTGTGAGGATGATTTTTATTTAAGAATAGAACTATTTACAGAACTCTTGCTAATATTCATTAACCATTTATTAATAATTAATTACTTCTTCTAGAAGACTATCTTCTCTTGCATATTCTAGGATTTTATAACTTAAAAAACACTTTACAAATCTATGCATGAAAGTCAGAATGCAAAAATTACAAAGCACTTTTTGCTTGAAAGGTATTCTAAAACAATACAATATGGAAACTTAGTTTCTTTATTCAAATAGTCACAGCCTAAGCTGAACAAATACAGAATCACAAGCAGCTTTCATGAGGTAGGGGATAAAAAGGAGGATCTCCAATTTTTTTTTTCTGAAAACCTGGTTTTCAATTAGAGCCAAGTAGTAAGTGCAGTCATACAATTTGAAATTTTAGTGAGAAGCAGAGGACAGAGTTTCATATTTTTATATTAATCTCTAACCAGTCTGACCCTTTTCATAAAAGCTGTTGATAGTTTAAACAGCCTAAAAAAAAGTTGAATCCAGGTGCTCAGCCAAAGGACTGTAATTCCCTAAAGTCCAAAAAACAATTGGTTCATATCTCAAGTCCTTATGCTTCCAGAGAAAATTGAATGGATTTGATCAATTATCTGTACATACACTCAAGAAGTGAAAGCAGACAGAATAACTGCGATTAAATTGGATCCTGACGGCTCTTTTCTGTATCATACATCACTTTGTGCAATTTCTAGAGTTTGACTTACACTCTTAGCCAAAATTTCCTCCTCTTTCCATATAGCCATATAGTAATCCCATTGCATGCTCCAATTTACTTCTCTGAATTTTGGCTTGTAACAATGATTTTGTACTTACTATTTGTAGGTCTTAAAATACTTTGAGCCTTTTGGAATTGAAAACACCATAATTAGGAAAAAAATACTCATCAAATAAGTTATTTAGGAATTACTGTAATTGCAGTGATGTAAATCCAGAACAGAATAAACAATACTATAATTTGGGGCAGAATCCTTGGAAATGTTATTTTCCAAACTTCTTCAGCAACTGACGTGCCTAACAGCAAGACAGAGTGAGAGGATAACAATCTAGAGCCTTACATACAAACACACTAATCAAATTTAAAAACTATTTATTTTTTTAAAAATTTTTTGTACACAGCAATTTTGTTTTCTCCAGCAAAGCTCAACCTAATGTTTAGAACAATAGTAAAACTAGTATAAGATACTGATCTAGAAAAACAGATAAAGAAATACAGCAGAAATTAACAGGACTGGCCTCTGACTTTTAAGAGTCAGATGCTAGAGTAATTCAATATTTCAAGAATCAAATTACATTTTTTAGCTAGTCCAATGAAAACTTAGAATAATCATTAGGGCAACCCTTCTACTGTTGCAATTCAAAGTCTCTTTAGCAGCACACTAAACTCCTAAAGGTTCATGGCATCAAGTCTAAATGTGGTTTTACTAGAATTGATGGCAAGGGGTTTGAACAACAAGCTATCTCCAGAGCAACGGATTTCACTTCCATGACTAAACAGGACACAGTTGATGATTCTTGGTCCTTGAATTTTCCAAATAAGAGTCCAACAACCTCTATTCTGCAATCACTAACAAAGATAGAAGCAAGCATTATGTTGACCTACTCTAAGATCAAGGAATACTGAAAAGGAAGAACAGTAAAACCAATGCTGAGAATTACTGTGAGAAAGAAAAGCTGCTTGATGGAAAAAGTAAAGAAAATTCAAAATGCAACTTAGGAAACCAAAATTTTCTGAGACCTCACATGCTTACTAATGTCCTAATTTCTCTAAATGATATTTAGTATATCATACCTTCTCCCCCATACCTTTGGCTTTTCTTACTCTTTTCTAGTTTGAGCTCTAGAAGGCAGGTGCTGTTGATGACTGAATTGACTCCAATGAAATTGATACAATGATAAGGTTAAGATTTCACTTTAATGTCTTCTTCCTTACACACTGAATAGTATCATTATCTAAACAACAGAATATCATAATACATACTTAGCAATCCTATACTTGTTTCATATATGGAATTAAAGGAAGACAGAGAGGAAAAGAGGGACCAATATACTTTAAACTTCACTAAAATACCCCAATAGTAGTGGCTTTAAGTTTGCTTTTTCTTAAAGTTACCTAAACATGCTACATACACATAAAACAAAAGTATTTATTTCCAGAAGAATTCCTAACTATTCCTATAATCTACTCACTCACAAACAAATTGAATTGCTCTCTTCACTCCTCCACCTCACCCGAAAAACCAAAGCCACAACAACTACCTGACAATTCCTTTCTTTAAAAGCAAGGTGCTCTTAGTGGCCTTTCCTAAGATTTCCGTGGATGTACCAAACCCACCAGCAGGGCACATAAAAGCAAGGATCCCCTCCTGTAGAAGGTGGTACTGTAAAACATCATTTAACCGCAATCTTTAATTATAGTGATATCACAGCAAAATACACTTAATATAACTGCATGTTATTGGGAATAGTGATATCACAGCAAAATACACTTAACAATATAACTGCATGTTATTGGGAGCAGCTGCATTTTGATCTTGCAACACAGCAGGAAAATAACTACAAACGCATAACAAAGTTAGCATTTTGTAAGAAGTGAAATGTTCACACTTCCCTCTACCCTAACATAACAGCAAAACGTTCTGCGCAGTACACAGACTTCCTGCTTGCTTTTCATTTTCAGAACCAGTACCACTCAAGACTGCTTTTAGCATCATCTTAAGAGACAGGTTTTACAGACAAACCTTAAAATTGTCACTAATCAATCAAATTTATCTCTAGATCCTCACACCTTTCTGCTCTTTAGCTGTAGCATTCATCACCCAATGGGACTCTGACTGGGATGCCTGACTTACATGGTTGCAAGATAAACACCACCAACATACAGTAACTCAACCTGATTCTTCGACACAGCTTCTGTAAAGCATAGCTCATTTAACCAGCTTCTTTCATCCAAGGAAAATTAGGATTATTTAGAGTACAAACGGCTTCCGCTAGTTCCCCAGTGCAAGGTGTGGCATCAGAAGCAACTGCACAGTTTCCCATTTCCTTCATGTCTCACACAGCTTTTATATTTACTTCACTGAACATTTCCTTATAGCTTTTAAGTTGAAGTGAAAAGTTTTTCTCTGTTGCTTTTTTCATAAGTTTTAAAATACTTTGATAAAATTATTTCTGGCCTATTTTACACCTGTTCGGGCTTCCAGAAGACAAGAAACTCTCCATGTTAGAAGCATTCTTTTCAATATTGTGAGTATCTGTTTCTATGTAAAAATGGAGTTCATCCAAGCTTCAACTTTTTGATCTTATTAGGCAAGTTTATTTTTATATTACAAATGCTAACTGTACACTGGCATATACCTGTACCTAGATTAAACTATGTA